TACATGGGTGTCAAGAAGTTGCTGATAAGCTCTTTGTAGGTCATGGGAATAGGGTCGAAATGTTCCTTTTCCCTCATGGAATTGTTTAGAAGTACTAACGGTAAGCTGCAGTTGATTTGGGCTGAGATTGTAACACCTTTGCTGAAATGTTTGATGTTGTTAACCACTCCATCCCTCTCCCTCATAGGAGGCTTCTTACTGGCTTCCCCATCCTTAATTTTGCCTTGATTATGGCTGACTCAATCATTTCTCCGGCCATAACCAAGTCTGAAAAGCTTCCTGATGTGATCGCAACCAGTGCCCGAAGTATGGAGCCTTCAGGGTCTGCACGAAGAGCTTTCGGGTTTCCTTTTCATCTAACGGTGGATGAACTTGCACAGCCAAACCCTCATTTTTGTGCGTACTGCCTGAAACCCTCGTTATGCTTATTTTCCATGCTTTGTAGCATAACTCGATCTGGCCTTATGTCATTGATATGCTTGTATTGTTCCAGAAATGATTGGCCAGGTCCTTCTAGGTCTTGATTTGATCGGCTTAGCTGGTTGTACCACCGAATGGCTGATCCCGACAGACTATCCTGAAAAGCAGTGGATCAGGAGTTGGTCGTTTCCTCCATATCCTGTCATCTTTCGGCAGAACATGGTGATGTGAGCGGATGGACAACTGTTTCCGTCAAACTTCTCGAACTCTGGGGACTTAAATTTCAGGGGAAGAACCAAGTCTGGGACTAGACTAAGTTCCGCTGCATCGATTTCATGGTAGTCACGGTCTCCTTTGACTATATTCATTTGGTCCCCAATTGTTTGATTTTTTCCTCCATCTTCCTCGCTTTTTCCTCTTCGTCCAAATCCGGTACATGGTAATAACCCGGATTTTTAGGGTTAATCACAAGGACGAGGGCTTTGCTTTTGCAGCAGATGAGTCCCCTCGAAGTTCTGTAAGATTTCAGGTGAGATAACCACTTGTGGGTAGGTTGTATAGTTACCCCTTCCGATGAACCTGCCCCGGCACAATGGTCTGTTGTAGGCCAATTAACTTGGCAACGATCTGATCAACCAAGGACTTGGTTCTTTGTGATTATTTCTAGAGTATTTCGACTGTTCTGGTTTATCTTGTCTTCTAGCTCTTTCTGTAGTTTTAACATATTCTCTTCGATTTGTGTAATTCTGGCTTCCATCATCTTCTTCTTCAAATGAGTGTTATGCGGATGGGGTGTGTCCAATGCTTGAGGCGGTGTATCCCGTATTTGCTCCCCCTTTGAGATATGTTTATGTTAGAAAATAAAATAAAAAATGCAAAATGTCTAAATATATGATGCATGAAATGTCTGAGGCATTGATCCAAAAAATGTGACTGTTATTCTGAATAACCCTTATTGGTGACAAAAGTGTTACGTCTGAAGAGACAAAAACTTTTTTGATGGCACAAATCTTGCACAGCTTCTGACCAGTTGACTCGTCTTTTTCACTGGTTGAATATCTTGTAGAACTATTCTGGCTCCTTTGGCTAAACTTGTGCAGGTGATGGGTTGCTTACCCCAAAAAGGGTCTCGAAGGACTACATCTCCAGCTTTCACTCTATGTCGAGCTTGTTTTTAATGAAAATGCCATTGGAGCGAGAGAAACTATCCAAAGCTTGCTTCTTGAATTCATCAGCAATGGTATCCAGCTCCAGCTATCGTTTTGCCATTGTCGTCTTTGAAGTGAATCCTAAGATCAGTGGTCTTCATCTTGCCCCTGCAACTTCTGCCAGTCAGTTCTTCAAAGATGGACTTTCATTGTGCTTGATGTAGACCCGGTTCATTGAGTCCCTTATAATAATGATATACTCTTCAATTGCGGGCACCATGTCCTCTGGATTGAAGGTGACACATGGTCGCCTTGTAGACTGTCCTCTGCATTTTCATCTCTTGTATTACAACCCTTTTGTCCATTAATGCTGATTATTCATGTTTAACAAACACATTTTTGGTGGATCAACACCTAGTTTTAAATGATGCGAATGATGAAAACATAATAAAAGAAAACAAAAAATAAAAAGAGTTAGTGAGGTAAATCAAAACAATAATAAAAATGAAAAAAAAATCTTACCCCACATGATATCTACCCCACATGCTTTAATTCTTACCCGGACATGATCTCTATCCCGCATGCTAATTTCAAACAAATCCTAACCGCATATTTGTCTAGTTCGCATGCTTTGAGCAGAAAATAAAGTAGGAAATCAAACAGCCTAAGGTTTAGAATGAGGTTTTGGGGTGGGCTCTAATTCCCTGCACTCTCCCGGTTTAGGTTCTAAAAACGGTACTCGAGTTCTCCTTGCCGGTGCCCCCTTGGGCTTACCAGACCCTTAGTCCTAAGCCTATTACAAGCTCATATGGACTAAGTTAAACTCGAGAGGACACATTCCCTTATGCCCGCACGGTGAATAAATTCACACGAAGACATAAGGTATATGAATCCCGAAGGCTACTTGCTAGGCATATGTGGTGAATAAATTCACACGAATGCGTCGCTTTCACCCCCACTTAAAATGGGTTCGGAGCTCAGGTTTAGAGCTAGAGATGGAAACTTTTAAAAAATCTGAAACCATTGAAAAAAAATGTCAGTACAACTATTTATTTGAAAAAATAATCAAAGGTAACTAATTCGAATCGAATAAATAAATTAAAATTTAAATTTACCATTTTCGCATAAAAGACAACCGAAAATTAATTTCGGCCTGACTCACTTACCTGTCCCCAGCGGAGTCGCCAAGCTGTCGGAACCGTCTTTCGGTGGGCCCCGGAATTGGGCTTCGACTTGAAAAATATGGATTGGAGTCGCCACCGACCATTTTAAAAAACATTTAGGTGGGTCGGACACCATCTGACATGATCTGCGTTGTACCAGAAATATATCGAGTTCGGGAGTCGGTTACGGTCAAGGAAGGATTAGCACCCTTGAACCGCCCTTTCGGTACCAATTAATTTATCGGTTGTCTTTATTTGAGAAAATTAAAATTTGAATTGAAATTTAAAAATTCGGTTCGAATTGCTTACCTTCGATCGATTGGAATTATCACTGAAAATGTTGAAATGTTAGATGGTGAAATAATACGAAGGAAAAATATTAGTATAATAATGATAAAAATTGATGACAAAGATAAATAAGAGTTAGTAAAAAAGAAAGATACTAGAAAATAGTAAAATAAGAGAAAATAATATATATAAAAAAAGAAAAAAAAATAGAAAATGTTAGTTTAGACTAAATGAATAAATAAGTGAATAAGGAAAAAAATAATAGGATAAAATAGAAAAATTAATTAGAAACCGTGAGGAAATAAATAAATAAATAAAATAGGCATATAGAAGGGACCAAAATAGAAGTTTCACAAATCTTACTTCAAATTCGGAATATATATATATATATATATATATATATATATATATAGGACCAAAACATGAACGAAAGAAAAAAGAATGCCCAAAAGAACCTTTAAAATGTCCCTGGATGATTAAATAATAAGCATACAAAGTAGGAGGGACCATAAAAAGGATTTCACCCCTTTGTTCCAGAACACGGTAAATTAAGGGGCCAAAACGACGTAGTTTTGGTGCGCCTATTTAAGGCTAAAGCAAGGCTTTTCTCACCCCCTCTCCCCTCATTTGCTAGGTTTCTCTCTCTCTCCTCTGATGATATCTCTCTCCCTTCTCTCTAGACTCGACCAAGGTCCGGCCACCGCCCGGTGACATCTCCACCGCGCCGACCACCGCCGACGCGGTGGTCGATATATCTAAACCCCCACAAAATGCTCTTCTCCGTACTGTGAACCAAAAACCAACCTCTAAATCCCCAAAACACACCCCAGTAAGCGTAGATCTAAGTTCAAACCCTCGGCCCCTCACCTTTTCCGACGACCTTCCGTTTTTCCTGAAGTTCTCCTGACGCGTACTGTTTTTGTTATTTTTGCGTGTGTGTGTGTTTGGTATTTGGCTATTGTGGTTTGGTTTGCCTTCGATTTTGTTTTCGTTGGGTGTTTGGTTATTTGGTTGTGATGATATTCTGATGGTTCACTGTTTGGTTTCGTTTGTTGGCCGTATGTGGGTTCTGTTATTGGCTGATGGGTTTTCCTCTGTGTGGCTTTGGTTTTCCGTTCATGTGTGTCCCCCTGTACTGTGTTGGTCGTGGGTTTTTATAAACCCCACCAGCCGTTGTGAGTCCCGACGATCTCGGGATCGTGGTTGTTGTGGCCGGTCATCCCGGGATGGGTCAGTCCCGGGGATCTCGGCCGGCCGTTGGCACTGTTGACCGTTTGGCTCCCTGACTGCTCGGTGACTGAAAACTGGGAACCCTAATCCCTTGCTGGGCTAGTTCAGGCCCAAACTTGGACTGGATTCTTGAACATGGACCCTGCACAAAAATAAATGAGAAATAAAAAATAAATAATATAATATTATATATAAACGTTTTCAAAAACATATAATATATAAATTTTTAAAATGTTTGAAAAAACTATATTATATATTTTCAAAATGGTTTTTAAAAATATATATTATATAAATGTTTTCATAACGTTTTCAAAAGTATATTATATATTTTAAAAACGTTTTCAAAAACTATATATTATATAATTTTCAAAAAATATATTTTCAAAATGGTTTTTAAAAATTATATATTATATAAATGTTTTCATAACGTTTTCAAAAGTATATTATATATTTTAAAAACGTTTTCAAAAACTATATTATAATTTTCAAAAATATTTTAAAAACTATATAATATACATATTTCAAAAAATGTTTTAAACTATATATTATATATGTATTTTCAAAAATAATTTGCAAACTATATAATATATATGTGTATATATGTATAAAAAATAAATAAAAAAAATATGGACGAAAATTAGTGTCTACACTAACTTTGTATTAATCATAATGAGACGGCATTCTGTGAATATACCGGTACAACCTTCGAAATTAGGGATTTACCAAATTGTGAGAAAAATTGACAGCTTACCTTAGAATTAGTGTCAACTTTCACATTGGTTGTGATATTCTTGTTCTTCAGCTCCGTGCTTATATCACCCAACAGTAATTCACCTTTTTTAGTTCCAGTTAATGTGATTGCCTAAATATTTATCAAATTAAAGAATATGAATATAAATTACACAAGAAACTAGGATATAAAAAGGAAACAATGACCTGAAACCATAAATCTCTATATCAATCACAAAATCATGCACTACTGCAAACAAATTCAAAGAAATTATATGAATTTTTATAACTAGATTACTAACCCCCCCCCCCCCAAAAAAAACAATATTAAGTTCATAATATGCTGAAATTGCTACACATATTTTCCACAAACGTGATAGACTAATAATCGATATAAAGAAGAGAGATCAATAATAAGAAATTTCAAATATGAGTTCATTCACACAAGGAACATAAATTAAAATAATAGCAGAAGCTTCACTAAATCAGTTGAACAATGAAGCAATATTTAAATATCCAACAAAAAATAAAAAAAGAAACTCACAACTCCATTGGAAGTGTATGTAGTGACAGTGAACTTGTGGTCGGCCTGGTAATCCTTGTAAAGAAGATCTAAATTAAAAAAAAAAAGTAAGATAAACTAAGAAACAAGTAATCTTAGTTTCACCTCTAGCCTTTTTGCCGATATCGGTGTAGAGACCAGGGCCTTTTCCCATGCTTCTTTACTTTCTTTTTTCCCGAGAAAATGGAGAGGAAAATGAGAGAGCTCCTCGTTGTCAACGAAACATACGGAAGAGAAAAGAACTTGATTTAAAAAAAATCTAATTAATAAATATTTGGTTATTTTGGACCGTTGATCCTGAGTGGACAAAAATATCCGCTTTTCTTGACCGTTGATATCAATTGCATGGTTGTTGGGGCCTCGGGTGTCTGGAATCCAGATTGGGCATATTCGTCTAAACAATATCACGTTTTCGATTTCGGATCTTTTAATATGGGTTTTGTCAAGGCCCTGTTTGGTTTTATAAAATTATTTTACTCCAGCCCAAGCGTATATGCTTGTGTAAGTTTGGCTAAAGTCGGGCTAGACAAACATGTCTTGAAGTTTGGGCAGGCTACTTAAAGCACTTTTCGATTTTTTGGTAAATATTTATTTTGATATTTAAATTTAATTTTATTGTTCAATTTGATATATGAATTTGATTTTTTGTTTAAATGATATATGAAATTAAATTTTCAGTTTAATTTTATATTTACATGTTTTTTGGTTAAATTAAATATTTATATTTGACTTTACAATTTAAACTAATACTTCCATTAGACTTTTTGGTTTAATTTGATATTTGTGTTTTTTTGTGCAATTAATTATTAAGTCTGAAATAATAATATTTATATTTTTAAAATTTTAAAATTATTTAAATCCCTCTAAATATGTTCAAGTCGAATGAATTCAAATCTGGAATAATTCAAAATAGATAATAATTTAAGTATTTAATTAGGAAAAATAAAACTATCAAACTAAATCAAAAAAGTTAAATTCAAATATTAATTTAAATAAAAAGTTAAATTCACGTAATTGTACAAAAAATCAAATTCTTATATCAAAATATATAATAATTTCTACTTTATGGGCACTTTTTTAATGTTTATACATAAAATTTGTATTAATTTGTTTTAATATATATGTATTTTTAATAGTAAATTTTTCGATAAATTTGGTGTAAATATAAGACAATACATATTCAAAGATTCTCAACTATTAACTAACAACCAGTTGATCTAGTGGGATGAGATATTTGGTCTCTTAAATAGGGTCAGGGGTTCGAATCCTGTCGTTTGCGAATGGAGCAAACTGGGTTGAGAGGGTCGCCCATGCCTATGCAGTACTCGATCTGAATTAATCGATCAATAGATCGGATATCAGTGATTAATTCAAAAAAAATATTATCAACTATTTAATAATAAAAATTCACATTCATCTATATGTGATTTTCAAATCTGAAATCTCGAGAAATAACAATAGATATTCTAACTATTGAGGTTGATTGATTCGGACCATGTTAAATAATAATTTTAATATATATATTTAACCATAGAATGATGTATGGGGCAGTTCTACACTGCGACACCTTAATATAAGGTTAAAATAAGGCGCTACCGGTACTATTATTATTTTTACCTAAAATATTTTTTAACATTTTCGGTCATATTTTAACGCTTAGTAATGTTTTCGGTCATTTTTTAGCGCCTGATAATGTTTCCGATCATTTTTTACCGGTTTTGTTATTTAAACAATAACAAAACCGGTAGCACTTTATTTTAGTCTTATAGTAAGGCTGCCGTACGTGAATGTTTCTCTGATGTATGTTATAAGATAATATAAATGACATGTAGCTTTATGTAGACATTCCTTTTCATCCTAATTTTAAAAAAATATTATTTATTATTATTAATATTATTATTTAATTATTTTTGCAGGGCCATATTCAACCCTACCATTTCACAATACTCCTAAAAATAGTAAGAAAAAAAACCATCAAACCACCAACCATTATCTCACCACTACCCCCACCATTATCTCAACCACGTTGTCCCCATTTCCCCACTTCCAAGACAACCACTTTCCCACACCTCTCTGCCTGCACAAGTCTATAAATTCTTTCCATTAACAGAACTAAAGGGGGACAAAGAAAAAACAAAATGGGGGCTTTTTCTCTCTTTGATGGTAGAGCTCTTAGCTTTTAATTTTTGAAGTGAGTCTTCAGATCCATGGGGAAGCAGCAACAAAACTCCAAAGAAACCATGATGAATGAGGCCAGGTGGTGTTAAATGATTTGGTCCTTTCTTCCCCTCTGATTCACCAACTTTCCCCCTCGCCTCTCAGCTCCTCCCGCTAATCATCACCCTCTTTGATTCCAACAAAAACGACGACAACAATCGCCATTTTATCTCCCATGGCAACAACGCCTTTGCCATCGTCCACTATTTGCTCTCCTCGCAGCAAATCGCCGCCTCGCTTTCATTAGTATCGGTTTCTCGAAAACGAAAGAGGACCCATGGCTCGGAATCTCTCTATTTTTTCCATACAAAACCCTTAGTCCTGAAAAACAAGCTCCCTAGATGGCACGATCAACTGCAGTGTTGGTGCCTGAATTTCCGAGGGCGAGTAACCGTTACATCAGTTAAGAACTTCCAGTTAATCGCGACCACACCGCAACCATTAGCTACCCATTGACCGAGGCTTTGTCGAAGATGCCAGACAGGTGTATTCAAAGGTACCCGGGATTGTACGGCTCCGATGATCTAGTGCAAGCTTGTATGGCTGAACTCGGTGTCCCACTCACCAAGGAATTCAGTTTCCATCAGAATTTCAGATGTTGGTGAGAATATTTTTTTTGTCACATGCTATAAGTTGAGGACGTGAGTGCATGTAGGTTTTATCCATCTTTTATGTAATATTATGTCCCAAATGTTGTTAAAAATGGTTGCATTATAGTTTTACGCATTTTTGGGAGTTAACTTGAATGTTTATATCAATATATATATATATTGTTTAAAGTAAAATGATTTAACATTTTGGGTCAATTCATTATTTTTGTAAATCTAACTCTTTTTAATCTTTTAGGGTACTTTATAATCGATCAAAGGTAATGATTCGAATTGATTTTTTAAATTTTAATTGAAACTTTAATTTTCGCAATTAAGACAACCGATAAATTAAAACAGTACCGAAAGGGCGGTTCAAGGGTGCTAATCCTTCCTTGACCGTAACCGACTTCCGAGTCCAACACGTTTATGGTACAACACAGATCAAGTAAGATGGCGTCCGACCAACCTAAATTTGCTTTAAAATGGTTGGTGGCGACTCTAACCCGATTCATTTACGTCGAAGCCCAATTCTGGGGCCCTAACGAAAGACGGCCGCGACAGCTTGGCGACTCCGTTAGGGACAGGCAAGTGAGTCAGGCCAAAATTAATTTTCGGTTGTCTTTTTTAGTGAAAATTAAAAATTTTAATTTTAATTTATTTATTCGATTTCAATTATTTACCTTTGATTATTTTTTTCAAATAAATAGTTGTGCTGACATTTTTTTTCAATGATTTCAGATTTTTTAAAAGTTTTCTATCTCTGGCTCTATACCCGAGCTCCGAACCCGTTTTAAATGGGGTGAAAGCGACACCTTCGTGTGAATTTATTCACCGCACAGGCCTAGCAAGTAGCCTTCGGGATTCATATTCCTTATGTTTTCGTGTGAATTTATTCACCGCACAAATATAAGGGAATGTTTCCTCTCGAGTTTAACTTAGTCCACATAAGTTTGTAATAGGCTTAAGACTAAGGGTCTGGTAAGCCCAACGAGCCACCATCAAGGAGAATTCGAGTACCTTTTTAGAACCTAAACCGGGAGAGTATAGGGAATTAGAGCCCACCCCAAAACCTTATTCCAAACCCTAGGCTGCTTTGATTTTATTTCATGCTTTACTTTCTGTTCAAAGCATGCGAACTAGACAAATATGCGGTTAGGATTTGTTTAAAATTAGCATGTGGGATAGAGATCATGTCCAGGTAGGCATAATAAGCATGTAGGGTAGGATTTTTCATTTTTATTATTGTTTTGATCTACGTCACTAACTCTTTTTATATTTTCTCTTTTATTTTGTTTTCATCATTCACATCATTTAAAAGAGGTATTGATCCACCAAAAACGTGTTTGTTAAACATGAATAATATGCATTAATGGACAAAGGGGTTATAATACAAAGAGATGAAAAGCTCAGAAGTCCAGCCGTGGTCAAAGAATACTTAGGGGCAAAGGTTGCAGGGGCAAGACGAGAAAAATATTGTTAATTTGGAGAGTCACTTCAAAGACAAAAAAACAAGATGGTGAAACCCTAAATAAGCTGGAGGCAATTATTAACAAAATCAAGAAACAAACAACTAAACTTCAAATAGTTCTTATCGATGGAGGGCTCCAATGACACTGTCGTTAGGAACAGGCTCAGCAGAGAGTGAAAGCTGGAGATGCAGTCATTCGAGACTTTTTGGGGCAAGCGGCTCGTCACTCACACAACTTAGCTAGAGGAGCCGAAACAGCTCGACAGGGTGTTCAACTGGTGACAGCGAAAAGACGTAAGACGAATCAACCTGCTAGAGGCTGCCCGGGATCTATACCATCAAAATGTTTTTTGTCTCTTTAGACGTAACACTTTTGTCCCCAATAAGGATTATTTATAATATCAGACACATTTTTTGGATCAATGCCTCGAACATTTCATGCATCATGCATTCTTGCATATTTCACATTATTTTTTTCTTTCCTCTTCTTTTATTTTTTTCATTACATTAATAACAAGAGATGTCTCATAAAAAAGGATAAAAGTAAGGATATTCCCGAAACAAATTTTTTGCTTTTGAGGGTACATCAAAAGGAGCCCCAACAAATGAAACGGTCGAGAAATGGGGAGCAAGTGCAGATGAAGGCCCTAATCCAGCTAATGGGGCATCCTAATAAGGATTTACTCCATTTTGCAGCATCCTATCTGGACTTGTTTTTTTTAACTTTCTCATGTTTCTTTTTGGACCCTGCTTTTGAACTTTGACATATTTTTTTATGAGGACATTTCAATGAATTTGTGATGAGCATTGAATTAAATTTACAACTTGAAATTCTTTGAATATCAGTTGAATTACAAAACTCTATAATTGATTTAGAGTTACAGATCTTTAACAAAGTAACACGATTAAAAGCCGATAAAACCAAGGACTTGGACCTTACCCAGAAT